CCAGGAGCATAGGAACAGCCTGTAATAAAAGATGTATTCTAAATAAGTTATTTTACCATACAGCAGGTCCTACAATATGTAAGTAATCTGAATTACTTTTATTGTTGCTGTTGCAACTTGCTCTTATCATTAGTATTTTCAGAGAGGATTGGAACAAGGGAATGAAAACAAGATGGGCAAATGTTATCACATTTCTCTTTGAAGTTTTTTACTGTTGTTTTTTTGCGTCCAAAACACATTAAGTTAAAAGATATCTTTTTAAAATTACATGTTGCTGAATTTTCAGTTCAACAATGGGGAGAAGACACATGTATAGTTTTAAAAAGTATTTCAATAAGATACTCAAACACATTCAAAAGACATTCCAAGATAGCAAGAGTGAAGGTGGAAAGAATGGCATGTTCCTGACTTGTAGTACCAAAAGGAGACCATTCCAGTGCTAAAGAGTATATGGTTCAGGCAATGTATGAACTATATCTGGCTCTTTTTTCAAAGTATTTTGTGGGCCTGCACATGCAAGCCCACACATAACAGGAATTTTCTTTTTTCTTTCTTCCTTTTTTTTTTAGTACCTAGGGTGGAACTCGGGACCTTGCGCGTGCAAGGCAGGTGGTTGGCACCACCAAGCTAAATCCCCCAAACCAGGGATTTTTCTTATCAACTTAAGTTAGTATACAGCAGAACATTTTCAAATAACTTCGTATACTCAGACATAAAGTTTTTTTTAAAAAAAACAACTCAGTGACCATGCATTATGCAAAAAGATTGCTTTGTTTGAGTGGCTTCTCTTCCCCTCATCAAGTTTTCCACTGTAGGCAAATATTTTCCAAAGTTATACATAGTTGTATCTTCCTTATGTTGTTTTGAGGACTAAATGAGGTTTAGCAAAGTATCTATAATCAGTATTAGCACTAAATAGAATATGGCAATAATGTAACTTTTTTTTGGCTTATATGAAGAGAATTCTTTGCTACCCTTACCTATGTTTCTCCAGAAATGAGTCACATTTAAGTTCAAATATCTGAATTTCTCAGAGAAAATAAGTGCTAAAGTTTGTGGGCACATATAAGGCCATATTTTCCAACTGAAATTTTAAAATAAAAATGAGGGTCACAGCATTGATGGATATGGTTCCTGTTTTCATGGTTCCTTATACATGGCAGGAAGAAACAGTAACAACATTCCAGCTATCAAGACACAGTGAGGTCTCTTGGTGCTGGAGTCGAGCTGCAACACCAGAGCACATGCTTGTGCATAACTGGGATCCCCTGCTGGCCATGCATGGCCCTTTTTATACCACAAGTGACAGTCACTGTCAGGTCTAACACCCAACTGCTGGAAATAGGCTCTTTGCAAGAAGAATTCAACCGTTACTTTCAAGGCTGAAATATTCTAGTGGTGCAATGGGGATTTTAAAAAATAATAATAAAAATAACATTTGGCTATTGGAAATGTCCTTTGAAATTTCTTCTTCCAATGTTTCCATTACCTCACTCATTTTGGAGATTCTTTCTGGTTCCCTGGTTGTTTTTGTTGTTGTTGTTGTTGTTGATCCTCCTCTGTTGGTTCATTTTTCCTCTGCCCAGTCCTATGTACAAAGGAGCACAGATTATGTTTCTCACAAATAAGTCTCTATGTAATTAGAAGAGGCTTCTTTGGACAAATTTATATAAATATTGTATTTCTCAGTCTGGCTTCTTACAAAGCCATGTAAAAGCATGACAGTGGGTTTGAAGTTACTAAGGAGCTCTGGAAGGGCAGTTACTCTGTCACTGAGGTGCAAAGCAATATTCTGTAGGACTCTGCATATCTAGGGGGATGTTGGATATTCTATGACAGCTTAAACACCTTAACCAGGAGCATGTCCATGAATGGAAAGTAATTTTATCTGCTTCCAGAAGTTAACCTAGGGAATGTCAATGGAGAAAGAAGACTTTTTTTTCTCCAAACGTTTGTGGATCTCTAGAAGTAGAAAGTAAACAGTTTCTTTTAATACTTTTCAGTGGTTGATTTTGTTTGCTGAAGGAAAAAAAAAATGAAAAGGGAACTAACATTCTGGGAAACTGATGCATGAAAGTTCACAAGTTTGAGCCCAGTATGGGCAACTTAGCAAGACTGTACATCAAGATAAAAAATAAAGGGCTGGGGATATATTTCAGTGCAAAGGCCCTGGGTTCAATCCCCCATACCATAAAGGGGGGGGGTACTAAATAGTCAACTTTAAATACTAAGAGAAAACTAAACAATTATCTACTTTTGCAACACTATCTTTCATGTATAAAATGCAAAATAAAATATATCTATCAGATAACTAATACCATTTGCATGAATTCATCATCACTACATTATAGATGAAAATAACAATAGCAATATTTTATATAGCATTTCACATAATTCTCAAATATTAGAACATATTTTTGTGATATGTATTACAGTGATGATATTTTAATAATATATTTTCTTCATGCTGCTTATGTATTTTTATTGAGCTTTTTTATATTCCTACACAATCTTTCAGCTCCAAACCAAATCACTGTAATTTAAGACAATGTCAAAGTTTCACCAGTCTTGCTTTGTCTGTTTAAGACCCAGTGCCAAATAGCTTTGCAAAATAGACAGAGTTTAAGATGAAATCTATAGATGTTGACAGAGGCTAATCAATGTGAGCTCTAAGAAGTAGATGGCTGTCTTGCTCAAAATCATTTCTTTCACTTCTGAAGTGTAAGACACTTCCATTCACCATTATAATCAATAGATTTTCTAAGTGATGCAGCCATGGGCACTTGAGGTGCAAATTAGCCAATCCAGTTTTATTATTTACTTGGAATATTATATGCCCTTCTCCAAATGTCTTTAAATGTCATCGCTATCACTACCACTCCGTAAAGAAAGGAATTGTGAAAAAATATTTTTATGTTGTTATTTAATTTATTTATTTATTTTTTGGTACCAGGGATCGAACTCGGGTCCTTGCGCTTGCAAGGCAGGTGGCGGAACCACTGAGCTAAATCCCCGGCCCTTGAAAAAATATTTTTAAAACCAAAAAAGTATGCCATAAATTCTGCTTATTTTTCTATTATACTTGAATTCACATAATTGTAAGAATCATCCTGCCAAACAAAGACTAATTTTTTTTTTCATACACAAAGAGTAATAAGAGAAAGTTTTCTTGTGTGAGAGTGGCTGTTAGCTGATGAGGGAAAGGGAAAAATCCTAGTAGCCTGACTTTAAGATCAGGGAATAAGTGCACTATTTAATTAGTTTTTATTGCTAGAAAACAATTTGCCTTTTCTTACACTGTTCAACATGTAATCTGTTTTGTAAAAATTCCCTGGCTTCTTAAAATGAAGCAGTCTTTCTATCAAATTTTAAAGCTATTTTTTCAATAAGATATGTTTAAAAGAAATATGTTTAGAAGGTTAGAGTCATTAAAACTATCCTTATAGTTTAATATTCATGTAAATTGAATATTCATACAGAACATTTAGAGAATTGTGATTCTTTTAAAAATTCATCAATATGACTTTGACAGGGTTTTTAGGTCTCTATATGGCTAATACATTCTATCTTTATGCATTTGTATGTTCATCCACTTAATCTAAATTATGTATTCCTGGCAATATATACACAGGTCAAAGATGCACCATCTAAGGGAGAAAGATACAGGAATATATTAATATACAGTAGGTATGTATTCAAGGTGAGTAGAGGTCAAAGTGGAGCAGGACATGACTTTTGAGAGAAAGTAGAATTCAAAAACAAATCCTAAATGAAATGATAGAGACAAAAGCAGAAGAATCAGAGAAAATTAAAAAGACTAGTATTACAGAGAGAGGGAAATAAGGTATACAAAAGCAATTTTGACACAAATGAGATGACACAGACTAAAGCAGGAAGAATCAGCAAGCATTAGAAAGAAGCAGACTAGTATTAGAGAGGGAGTAAAATTAAGTGTGGAAAAAGCAATTTTGAAAAGAGATCCTCTTTTTCTATTTCCTATTGAATTGATACAATTATAACTTTACCTCTGATGTCAAAGCCCAATATGTTCTCTCAAAAGCTAATGGAATAGTTTTTCAAATATCAAAGTTGTTAATATAACCTTCAAGGTTATAAATTTGCAGTAGCTCATTATATATAATAGAAGAAAAAGCTGTCATTCTGTTATGATTTTTTTATCCTTTTATTGGTACATTTTAGGTGTACAATATAATGACATTCATCACTGGAGATGTGCACCTTTACATACTCTCTTGGTTCTTATTTTTCTCCCCCTTCCCCTGCTCTCCCTTAAACCCCTCCATCCCTCCCTATTTAGAGAGACTTTGTTTCCATTTTTTCATTTTCTCATATTAATTCCACTTCCTTCTTTCCTTTCCCCTACCGCTCCCACTTCCCCTTCCCCTTCCCCTTTACCCCTTTTCTTCCTATTTCACATTATCTGTTATAACTTTTAGTCCTTATTTACACTTTCAGTTTCTCATACTAGAGAAACTATTTGGTATTTACACGTGTGTCTTATTTATTTCACTTAAGAGTATCAACTCAGTGTGCATCCATTTAGCAATAAATGTCCCTAATTTCTCATTTTTGATGGCTGAGTAGTACTCCATTTTGTGGAAGGACCACATCTTTGTCCAGTCTCCAGTTGATGGGCATTTGGGCTGTTTCCAGGTTTTGGCTATTACAAATTGTGCTGCTATGAACATAGGTGCACATATATCACTGTGGTATGATTCTTCTAATTCTTTGGGGAAGATACCCAGCAGGGTAATAGCTGGGTCAAATGGGACTTCCAGTCCTAGTTCTGTTATGATTTTGACTGATGTTCTATTAACCATTTTGATGGATAGTGTGGTAGTTAGCATGGAATGTCAACTTGATTTATTTGCTATCCACCCAGCAGATTTGTGGAGCATAATTCTGAGTGTGTTTGGTGGGTCATGGAGATTTTACCTTGGGTACTATATGTGGTCTCTGGACTCTTCTTTTCTAAACAGTTCTGAGCATCTGCATCACCACACCCTTCTTCCATGATATTTCTGCCTTGGAGCCAGCCAAGCATGGACTGAATTCCCTGAAACTGTGAGCCAAACTGAAGCTTTTTTTCCTTTACGTTGTGAGTGTTGAGTATTGTATGCAACAATGGGAAAGTTGACTATTACAGAAAATTGGTATTCAGAGAAGTGGCGTCATTTCTGTGACTGCACCTAAACATGTGGTTCAGAAGTCTTCGGAACTGGTGTGCAAGAGAAATTTGGAACAGTTTGGAGATATGGGCTAGAAAAGTCTTAGAACACTGTAAGCAGATACTGATGGATAATTCTAGTCAGAGCACATAAGACCAGAATGCTGGCAGGAATGCAGATAGTAAGGCCAGACTGAGGTGGTTTCAGTTGGAAATATGACTCCATTGGTCAAATGTGTTACACTCTGGCATAGAATATTTCTACATTTTGCTCATGTGCTGAGAATTTGCGCTAAGACTGAGATTAAGGGTGATAGACTAATTGATCTTGTAGACAAAACTTCAAAGCAGCCCAATATTCACGTTGTGACTTGGGTACTGCTGGTTTCTTTTAGTCAGATTTATAGTGAGAATCAGGGGCAAAAAGCAGAGCAGAAAATTTTGAAGAATTTAAATTTTAGCCCAAAAGGAATGATGTATAGAGTTGGGGCCAAAAGAGGTATGGTTGCTCAAGAGTTAGTGCCATTTAAAAGAAAAAAAAGTACTTTGTACAGGGACAGGAAGAAGATGTCTTGAGGGCATCTCAGAAATCATCAAGACCCCACCAATCACAGGCTGAAGAGTGCAAAATTATAAACTTTTCATTTGAGAAGAGAGTCCTCTGGGACAACTGCTTGAGAGGGGCTTCCTAGGGAATTGCTTCCCCAGGATTAACTTCACCATGCTCAGGCATCTAGGCACTCAGGCTGCTCCAGCTAGTCCAAGGGACTGGGTACTGCTCAACCTGGCACCATAACTTAGCTTCATTCACATGATGCTTGTTTTAGGCACAGGCAGAATGCAAGTGTGTGGTTAGGAAGGCTTCCACTCGGATTTTAAAGGAATGCCTAGGAGACCAGGCAAGGAACCCCTGAGGAGGGCAGTGAATGAAGCTGTAAATGAATCCAAAGGTACAGTGGAGATCCCAGGCAGTTGGAAATTCCAGGAACATGGAATGTCTGCGAAGAAAAAAAAGCCCAAGAGGGAGGCCATATGGGCTGCAACCAGCAGGGTCATAGTGAGTGGCAGAGAACCATTCAAGCTCTCTGGAACTCACATCTCATAAACCATATGTCTCAGATACAGGGCATGGAGCTATAGGACTTAATGTTCACTCTGTTGGGTTTCAGTCTTGCTTTGGTATGATACATTTTTAGCCTTTATTCCTCTAATTTGGAATGGAAATATTTAAAGGCATTGTTGTGTTCCCGTCTGTATGCAAGATAGTTGAATTATGTTAGGCAGAATTACAAACTTGCTCTTTTATTTGGAGATTAATTGTGCTTTTTGGAGATGTGTGTGGGTATCGAGTTGACAGGTAGTAGGATAAGGTGGTTGGGATGGAGTGTCAATGTGGTTGGCTTGGTGATCTGCCCAGTGGATTGGATTGGTGGAGTGTACTTCTAGTTATGTCTGGGTGGGTCATGTTGGTTTGACACTGGGCACTTTACATGGTCTCTGTCCCCTTCCTCTCTGGCACTGTTTCCCTGTTCTGCTTCTAGACTGACATAAACTGAATATCTTTGCTCCACCACACCCTTTTGCTATGATGTTTCATGATAACTTTTATAAGCTTGAAATTTTATTTAATGACATTAACTTATATTAATGGATTTTAAAGAAATACTCCTATGAACCAAATAGCTCTGCATATTATAGAAATATTGAGCAAAATATTTATATGATTCCAACAGCTGCCTTTACTAGGTGGATGCTGACAATATTGTAATTACATTATATGATCTACTCTGAAAGAAACACTTCTCTGGCCTGAATCAGAAATGGCTATATTTTGGGGGAAACTGTTTGACTTTGGTATGTTTGTAAAGAATCAAGTAACTATTAATCTTTTAAAAGGCTCAGAATCTAAAATATATTAACTGCCATGAGGAAATTCTTAGAATTTCAAGGTATTTTAAAAATGAATTTTTTGCCTTTACCTTGTTTTCCCATCTTAATTTATATTGACCTCACTTAGTTCATCTATTTTACCTTATTTCGTGCAAGTGCAGAATATGTCTTTGAAATTCGCATTAAATCTTTTCAAAATAGTTACTTTTTTTAAAAAAGGAGAGAAAGAAGTAAAGGTACAGATCAATGGGAAAGGGAAAGGAGAAAGAAAAATACACAGTTCTCCAATTTCACAAATTTAAAAAAAAATAAAGGGGGAAGATAAAACTATTATTCTGTATTCAGTGTAATGCAAGCATGTATTAGGCTTCTATTTCTGAAACAAATTTCTTAATTTTAAAAGACAACTTTTATAGAAAGGATATCTCAACTTGGCAGACACGTGTTTTGTGGGTATGTTCAAAATTTATTTGGTGGGTGGGATATGAATTCTTCTCGGTCCGGGTGATTCAAGAGTTGCTTCTCTGAACCCTAAAATCCAGAGGAGCTCTGACAGTTTGATTCTTGCCAACTAGAACACCCCAGCCCACAAGAAAAATGATTGGCTTCAAAATAGATTTGGGACCTAAAGCTAGTGAGTCAGAGTTCTTTTGTAAGACTTTTCATGGAACTAATGTTACAAATAAAAAATTATGGAATCCTAGGGCTGCTGAAGGTTCTTGTGATTCTATTTACAGAAACCTAGATTTAGGCCACCACAGAAAGATGAATGGCTGAATGCAGTAATAGAAAGTTATCCTAAGCGGTGAAACTTTCTATTGGCGTCAGCCAATTGAATTATTTATAGTTAAAAAGTTTGAGTTGAGTCTGTCATTTGTTCAGTGTCACAAATAAAGAGATGTGTAGATTATTGATTCAAGCAGAAAAAAGATCTTTGAAATTAGTTGTAGCTAATGTTTAGAGAATGCTTCTCTCCTCTCTGTTTTAGTGGACAGTCATTCATATCCTTTATATATGAAATTTCACATGCCTTTTTCCTAATCTATAAAAGATTTAAGTGTTAGTTTGCTTGTGACTGATATCTTTTATTTATATATCTAGTCCACAGAAGATAAACAAAATGCAGCATTGTCTTTTGAAATATATTAAAGATGTTCATTGGAAATACTAAAAAATGGAATGATAGCAAAAGATAAGGTAGTTATTTCTCAAAAAAATAGAAAAACCTGATGTGCCAATGTTATTTCAAAGATGCAACTAAAACCATTACATTAAAATGAAAAGTTCTGAAATTCTGAACTATAACTATGTCTATTTATTATCATCTCTGTATTTCTCTGATACTTTTATTCAAATTTAATATCTGATCCTTGATGAGTGTGGTCATTGGATATCCGTATATTATCAACCCTCATAATTTTAATCTTTAGGGTCATGCTCAGTGACAAAGCCAAAGAAATTCAAAATTCACTTTGTAAATCATTATACCTCAATTTTCTAGGTGTTGTATACTAAATATAAATGAAATAAATGGGAACTATATGTGCGTTATAAACAGAATTTCTAATATTCCATATTTTTGAACTAAAAATAGGCTTTAAATCTATGTAAGTATAGGACAAAGAACAGGAATATGTTATTTCTAAATAGTAATAACCTCCTCCAGCTAATAGGATTACTGAGAAGACACTACATATATATGAAAAAATGCATAGAATTATACTTTCATTTTAAATTAGTTAATAAAATTATTATTATTACTATTATCTCTCTTATTCCATCTATGTAACTTTTTTACAATGAGTAGTATAGTAAATCTTTCAAAATGGAACAAAAAGGAATAAAAGGATGGACTACTTCAGTGGTGTAAGAGTTAAATGAGTAATTTACAATTTTGAGAAATCACACTGAGATTAAGCAGCAATACTATTTTGTGTTTATATGTAATTTTCAAGGTCATATTAAATCACTCTGATACTTTCCCCCTATGTAACCATGCCACTTTTTCTCTCAATTTACTCAATCTATGAATTTGCTCATCTCTTTTTAGCGTCTATTTTGATTGACATAGACCCTTCCCCTTAAACATTATAATCTTTTTTGCCTTTCTGCCACTTATATGCTCTGAAAACCCTCCAATTCTACTTCCTATTTATCTTATTTTATAATTAGGCCCTTGAAGTAGACGCTTTAATATGACGTAGTAACATTCCTATCTACAGCTTCTCAGGTGTAGCATTTGTATTATCACAAAGGGTTTAATTATTAAATCAGGCTCATGTTAATAATAGTTCTTACCTAGCATCAAACTATACTAATGATTCAAAGAATATAGGTAAGCATTAAGAACAGATGAAATATTCTTTCTCTGTAGCAACCCAGAATTGTCACTTGTTCATTTTCTAGTGAGTTGTGATAAGTCTTGCTTTTGGATTAACAAATTTTTAGACATTTTGGACACTTCCATCTTATATAGTGGTAATTCCACAAATAAAATTGATCACTTGACTAAGCTCTGTTATCTAGCCAACCATGCTAGCTGTTTATTTATGAAGTAGTCTAGAAAAGAAACATGTTGAAAAGCAAGTGATAGAGGTCATTCATCATTTGTCCTGTTGTCTCAATAGGAAGAAATAGTTTGAACAAGTTGTTATACATACATATATTGCTATACTGCAATACGTCAATATTGACACACATGTGATACATACGTTTATATATACATTTATGTTTTGCAGTACATTGACTCACATTATACACTCTACAATAAACTTCCTAGTATTTTCTCATGTGTTTTTTTAGATGCAGATATGTTAGGCAAGATATCAAAACACTCTAAGCTTTAATTTTTTTCATCGGTAAAGTTGTAGGTAACAGTACAGTCTACATCACTATTTTGTGAGGATTGAATGCAATAATATGCACAAAAGTCTTAGCAAGTGTCTGATGGACTCAATATTTTACAAAATTTTAAATTTAATGACTGTTAAACTAATATTGTGTCTTG